CTATATTCAGGAGAGTCAAATAACTGCTGGGATATGTTTTATTCCGTGCCCTGCACTTCTGCATGTGTTAATATTTGCTGTGCTTTCTGGAAATTGCTTCCATCCTGCATTCTGTTCAGATAACAGCAGAGCAGAGGAGACATATGCTGTGCTGACAGCAAAGAGATTGTTGGAGGTTTCTTAAAGCTGGCAAAGAACATAACAGCAGCAGGAGACAAATATCTTCCCCTACGAGGAGCTGGTCCCCTCAGAGCACCACCAGCTATGTACCAGCCTGGGCTGTGATTTGATCCTCATTTTAACCCAAGCACGGGGCTCACAGCCCTGCCCATCACAGTATTTGCACATTCCCTGTCCCCCTGTGCAGGAGCAGCTTTCCCAGCAGTGCCTCCAGTTCCTCTTTCCCACTGGGATCTGTGCAGGCTGAGGCAGAGCTGGATGCTTTGTGGGTGAATTAAAAGCCTCTCCATGTCTACCTCATTTCTGACCTCTCCTGTGAGATGAAAGTCATTTTCTGAAGAATGATTTTATTCCTTCTGTGCTCCCAAAAACATGTTATCTATTACTGCTTCGAGTTCTGCTCAAAAACAGCAGCTGAGATCTCTGTCACTTTGGCCTAAATGATGGTCAAGTTTTAGTTTAAACCAAGGCTTAAATACAACACTGGCAAATGGCTGTTGTAGCCTTTCTAGCAGGAGCTGTGTGCTCCAGATGCTCTGGCTGTTGTGTAAGAGGAACCTGGAAACAGGACAAAGTATTGATCACACAAGTCTCCATAGATTGAGATGATGGGTATTGAATGGAAGAGAATCACACTGTCATTAACAGAAATTAGTTCAGAGGGGCTTGAATCAGGCTGAAGTATTTTCAGCTTTGAAGGTGACCTCTCAAAGTTCCTTCTTGTTTTGTGTTTGTTTTTATCAGAGCACAAATGTTCCTGGATTTCAAAAAGCTGCTGCACCAAATCTGGCTGGCAAGGAGGAAAAGGGGAGTTGGAAATTTGAACTGTTTTAAGCATCACCTTTTATGATATATGGTCTCCAACAACATGCATTTCTGTAGACTCTTCTGTGTGTGGTCCTTAAATCCCTTTTCATAAATAAAACCATCTGTCTCCTTTGAACTATAGCAGCTCTAATTTAAAAAGTCAGTATTTGCCAATGCCTACAACTCATTAGCTCTGAAGCTGTGAAAAACTTCCCTATCTGGCTCTTCATTCAGCAGGCTTTGGCAATCACTGTGTTTTAAAAATATGCCTGTTAGTTGTAAACATCCATTTTTATGAAAGATGTGTTTTGCTTTGGATATCAGGTGAACTGAAAAGTAAAAGTGAGATTAGGAGCAAAAACTGAGCTCTCAGCCTCCAATCTGAAAGGAAAATCTCGCTTGGGGATCCACCTGGACATCAGTGCTGGGACAGATAAACTCTTCTTTTCCAGCTGTGGTGAAAGTGCAGCTGAGCACAGCCCTGTCCACACCAGAGCCCTGCAGGCTCCTGCTGGAGCTGGGGAATGTCACCTGGAGAATTTCCTTGCTGCTGCAGCACGGTTATGGATGTTGACTGCTGGGATTGCAGCTTGCAGGAGCGCTTAAAAGCAAAGTGCAGGAAAGGAAAGCAAGCAAACATCCAAGAGAGCCACAGAAACACTGTCAGAGTGAGACCTCAAAGAAGCCAAGAGCATTAGCTGCTGCAGCATTAGCTCTGTTACCTGTCAGGTGCAATTGTGATCAGTGTGATCATTACAAATAAAAGAACAAGGCTCAGCTTGTTACACAATAACAGTCTCCAAGTTAAAAAAGAGGGAACCTAGTTTGTACAAAATGAATTTTTATTTCCCTAGATTTGGTAAAGTCTTTCACCTGGCACTGCTTTTAGCAAGGGGAAAGATGAGGTGTGGGTGAGCCCACAAGAGCAGGACACATCAGTGAAGTACAGCTCGTTCATCAATAAAGCTCAGCAAGGAGTGGCAGGAACACAGCCATGCTGTGCCTCTTCCCTCTGAGCAGGGATTTTTATCTCTAGGGCTGCTAATACAGCACCTTTTAAAGACAGTGAATTCTCTTTAGAAATAGGGAGGTAATGAGGCCATTTCCACTCAACACCGCATTTAGATAGAAAAACAAAACAAATAATGCTGTCAAGATTTATAGCAAATACATTATAAAGGGCAACAGAACATTTGTATAAAGAACTGCAATGGACCTGCAGTAGAAAACACACTTTACTTTTATGACTTTAACTTCAGGGCATGGGAGGCACCTCATTAATGATTAGAGGGATACAGATGAGCCATAACAGTCTATATATCCTTATAAATGATATACAGGGAGAGCTAAAAGACATCAAAATGCAGGCTCCACTGCTGTGCTTTTTCCTCTTCACCTCTTCATTTCTCAGTCTTCCAGCTGAAAGAAGGAATTCAAATTTATATTGACCAACTGTGTATTAACGTAATCAAATAACTAATCACTTCTGGTGGGTGGCACAGATAGCTGGTCTGGACTGGAACATCTGGAAATGCAGTAGCCTCTTGTAGACAGCATAAACTCTGTTTTTAAACCACTGAGCTGTGTTTCCTGGCAGGAGCCAGCTCAGAGCTCACCTCCATCAGGTCTTGCTGACAGGCAGGTGACGTAATTAACTCATTAAGTCACAGCAGCTCGGTCTCTTTGGATCACTTGACCTTATGCTAAAAGACAACCCATTCATCAAAGGCTTGTCCTCAGCGTGCACAGGCAAGGAAGGGAAGGAAGGAAAGAAGGAAGAGGGGAGGAACAATGAGCAAAAGGAAAATTAAGTGACTTACTGAAGGGCACGAGGAGTCTGCAGGACCAGCACGGCTGAGCTCGGCGTTGAACGCCAGCACCGGGACCTTGTGCCAAGAAAATGCCTTCTCTAATAAACAGGAAAATGTATGTTTGACATCAGGAGGTGGAACACTGTTTCCCCTTCAAGACAGAGAAAAGGGCAGTGGTGGCTACTGGCCTTGGCTGCACTGAGAGCTCAGAGTTTGACCAACCTCCCCAGAACAGGGCTAGCAGAAAAGTCCTTTTCTTTGTGGTGAAAACACTGAAAGAGAAAGGTCTGGCAGTACAGGGGCCCTCTCTGTGGTGGAGACACAAGCAATTCCTGCTGCAGAGTTGACAAATCATGGCAAGAAAGGGTGGATAAGTCTAGGAGTATTATCCAGAAAGAAAGAAGGGAGTGACTCTCCAACTGTGGCATCACTGCACAGCTGAGAGGGAAAACACAGAGCTGTTCCATCCCTCCACTGTGCATCAGTCTCCAGCTGTGGGGTTTGGGTGTTCCAGATGTGACTGTTAAGGAGGTTAATGGAGTCCTGAGGCTGCTCTAAGGTAGACAGAGACATTCTGGGCAGCCTGAGCCTTGCAGTTCCCCCTGCTGTTCCCTTGGCCTCCAGCAGACAGACAGACACACAGACACACAGACTGAGGTCGGTGCATCCCCAGGGCTTCTTGAAAGCTGCTCTTGTGGAGGCACCTTGTGATTCCAGAGCTGACTTCTCCACTCCCTTGCCATGTAATTCTCTCTTTATGGAGCTCTTGCCTTGGGGGAAATGGGTTTATTGCAAAGTCAAAAGGTAATTTTTTACATAGACTCTATTACCTGTTTATAATTAAAACCATAAAATCCCTTTGTAACAGGCTTAATAACTTCCCCCACACCAGAAGAGGTTTTCATAAAAAGAGTCATTAAAAGTACTCACAGCTAATGCTGGAAAATCAAGAGAAACATAGAAAATTATTGAGACTTATTTCAGCATTTAACAATGGGCACTTTCCCCCATTTATTTTAATAGTTCAAAATGACAAGAAATGGCAGATCAATCTCAGCCTTTCATCTCCTCTACTTTTTCCTTCTTCCAGGAGCCCTCCTGCCCAGCAGATCCTGGGATTTCCCAAGGCTGGGAGCGTGAGTGGTGATTAGCAGCTGGGATTTCTGACCTTGAGAATGCACTGGGAAGTTCAGCTCCAGCAGTTCCTCCACGTCCTGTTTGCTTTCCTTGACCTCCCACCATTCCTGATGTGTGGATAATGTGAGCAGTGAGCTTAAATTCCTCCAGTTCTCTGTCCTTTAGGACCACTGAGGCTGAAAGATGTTTTTTGGCTTCTGAAGCTAGTGAGATATATATAGTAGAAACACTATAAACAGGAAAATGTGACCTTTAAAACAAATGGATGTAAAATTACATGTTTTACTTTGCAGTAACAACTGGCTGAACTGGACCTAGGGCAGTCAGGGGCTTGGGGCAGCTGTGCTGGTCCTTTCCCAGTCTTTGAGAACCAAAACAAACAAGGGAAAATGCAACAACAAAACAACAAAAACAAACACTCCCCCTCCCCAACCCAAAACCTATATGACAAAAATAAATCCTTAACAAATCACTAGCAATGTTTTTAAAAGCAGGCCATAGGTATCACCCAGGCAGTTTGACCTCCATGGATTTATGACCTACAGGCATCTCAACCAGAGACCAAAGCAGCTCTGCCCTACAACCATCCCCATGCTGTGTTTTGTTGTCAAACAACCTTATCTTCAGCTCAGATTTCCAGCCTGTGTTTATGCTTTTTTTTTTTCCTTCGGCCAAATAACGTCCTCATCATCAGGAGTGCTCGATAATGTCACCTTGGCAGAAAATTATGGGTGCAAATGAGCTAAAGTTGGCTAACTGAGGTGGCAGCACAGTGGAGCTGAGTCCCTGCTCACGCCAAGTTCATGGGTTAATGGGCAAGTGTCAGCATTCCACACTTCTGCAAAGGAGGTGGATCTGTGGGAGTCTGGAAAAGATCAGCCCCTTCAGAGCCTGGCTGAAAACAGATCTTGGCTTTAACAGAGGCAGAATGAGCAGAGATTGTCCTTGAAGTCAGGCAGTTCCCCTAATTTGGGGAACACTGCCACACTCACAGCCTCACAACCTGTTGAAGTACAGGTTTAATAAATGTATTAAATTAATTAATTTAAATACCTTTAGTAGCATCTTGTTTCATCCCCCCTCACTAAGCACTGTTTTCCTTAAATTTACATTCTCCACTTGCAATCACATCTCAAACATCTCTTGGGTTTTTCTGTAAATCATTTCCAGCCCAAAATGCTGACTCATGGGGGAACTGAGGTTAAAGAAACTTTATTTATGTCAGAGGAATTGATCACTTGTAATTTAAAGCCTTCCTGCACCATTATTTATCTTCTGCCTCTTGCTTCACGCCTTTGTCCCACATCTGGGCCGTGGCAGGTGCAGAGCCATGTATCTGTCAGAACAGTAGAGCTGCCTCATTGCTCATTTTTGGCCTCCTTGACCTTGCCTGCTTACCTTACTTTATTAGTACAGTTCTTCAAAACTTCTGAAAAAGCAAAATATTCCCCCTTGATGCCCTTCCCCATTTAATATAGTAGCACTTCTAATGGTTCTTTCAAGCTGTAGCAGCCTCTCAACTCCCTCACCTCTGCCACCTTCTCCCTTCTTTCTTCTTTATCCCTTTTTTTTTCCTCCCAGCTGACACAGAGTCCACTTCTCTCTTGAGCTGCTGGCCTTTAGCTTCACCCTTGTGTCACTGTGGCATGCAAATAGCCATCACCACGATGATCCCATCTGACTGTTTCCTTCACTTGGGGGCTGGGTGACTTCAAACCTCCTTCTAACACATCTTCATCCCTGCAGGAGTGTGGCAAACAGGGCTTGTTCAATCACTCAACCCCCTTTGTGCAGTGTCTCCTACCATGACTGAGGGTTCCTTGATTTTGTGCTGCTCTCTGCAGCCTCGAGGACCTTCTGCTCCTGGGGTAGAAACCCTTGTGCCACCTTTCACAGCAATGCCATCCCCTCAGACTCCAAGGGGCAGCCAGATAACAGCTGCTGGCTGTTTAGCACCATCCATCCTCCCCCTTGGCTCAGGGGTGGGGAGCAGAGAGCCCATTAAAGGGGCTGTACCTGTGTCTCCAAAAACAACAAACCTCTCCTGTGTGCTGAGGGATTCACTGAGCTGCTCCAACAGCAGCCTGGAGACATTGCAGTGATAGCTGGGGGAAAAAAAAATTACAAAGCAGGTTTCTCTCTCTTTTATCTACCCCTGGTACACGAAGGTGCCTTGTGATGTTGGTTTGTAGCTTGCTGCTTTTTCTGGTATTATTTGTAACTCACTCTTCTAGAAACTTCACAGTAATTGGCCTCAGTGGGTTTCCCATCAGTTTGTCTTCTCCTGCACCTGAAGTCTCGTGGGGATTCAGCCTGTAGGGACCCTGGCAGAGGTGGCAGTGCCCTCCTGTCAGGGGCACAGGGCACCCACAGCAGCTGTACCCGTGTCCAGGTGAGGCTCGTGGGGAGTGCTGAGCAAGGATCATGAAAAGCCCTCTCACAGCTGCACCTCGGGTCTCACACTTTCCTCAGAAGGATTCTGAAGAATTCACAGAGAAATCTGTGATATATTGCATTGGAAGAATGGAATTTATCAGCTCTACACAACACAAAACCAATCACTGTAGGAAAAAGACAAAAATTACACTGGATTAACGAGGCTGGTGGTGGGGAAAGAGTCATTCACAGGCAGATTAAGCAAACCAATCATGTTACAACATTGTTTTGCTGTGTATTACTTGGAGTTAATGGATTTACTCATTCTCTGAAAGAAACAGGACATTTAACTTCATAGAAGCCGGCAAAAACTAGGGAAAAATCAGAAGCCACTTGAAACGCAGCACACTGTTATTATGGAGGGGAGAAATTCAGCTTGGTGGGGGTTTTTCTGAGCCTTTTATTTACCATCCTGACTTTAGCAATCTGCCTCCCACATGGAGGAAGCAGGGGAGGCTCAGGCCTGGCACGGGCCCAGCTCAGCTCACGGAATGCAGGAGGGAGCTCCACATTCAGTAGGGCTGATAGATCATTTACAGGGTGCTGGGAGATGGAATATGCAGTAATCACACCAGAGCACAGCAAAACAGACACAAGACAGGTGTGAAAAATTGCAGACTGATTAGTAATTTGTCACAGGCTTGCAAGGGGTCTGCCAAAGTTGGAGGCAGTGGAACAACATTCCTGTGTCTTCAAACCAACTCAGGCGCCGAGTTCTCCGTTCCAATTTCAGGAAATAAATAGCAGTGATAATTGATGAACAGCTCTGAGGTGTCTTCCCAAGCCTTTTCAGATCCTGATTTTATCATCCTGGTAGGAGAAAATTTCCCCAACAAACAGTTTATTGATTGTCCATTACACATTTTCCCTCAGTAGTTCTCAGAATGCCGTCCAGGTGTCAGACACATGATAGCAAAGGAGAAATTCAGCCAGGGAACAAAGACATCCTCAGGTCCAGCACTGAATCTGACATTCAGGAATCCAGACCCCATGTTTACCCTTAGATCTTAATAAATCCTTGCTGTACCTCCCCATTCATAATGGAAAACCAAACCCATTTCTAGTCCCAAACTTTCATGGCCTTTCATATTTATTATGAGTGCACTGAGAAGATGGTTGTGCTCATGGGGTGGTTTGGACAGTGCCTAACAGAAAACAGCTCCAATTTTGGGAGTGCAGAACTAAGAATCATAGAATAACCAGTTGGAAGGGAGCCACAACTATCAAGTCCAAATCCTACACAAATCTGTGTGGTTTGGGGGATTTTTTTCTGGTTTTTTTTCCAAGATGAAGCACATCCTGTAACATCCTGTAAATCTTAAATGCAGTAGATTATAATAGTTTTAAAATTAGAAATAAATAATGCTGGCTAGTAAATTTTCTTAAAGGTGCAAGTGCCTTCTAAATAAGTTTTGGTGATCAGATCTGTCAAGGCACCTCATGCCTGTCCCTCCTTGGAGCACAGGGAGGGCAATTCCAGCCAAATTAACCATTACCCCCTGTAATCAGCAGGAGTAGGCTGAGGTAATTGGGGTTGTTCAACCTGGAAAAGAGAAGGCTTTGAGGTGACCTAATTGCAGCCTCTCTGTCCCTGAAGGGATCCTGCAGGAAAGATGGAGAGGCTTTTTGTAAGGACATGCAATGTTAGGACAGGGGGAATGGATTTAAACTGACAGAGAGTGGGTTTAGATTGGGTGTTAGGAGGAAATTCTTCCCTGTGAGGGTGCTGAGGCCTTGGCATAGGTTGTCCAGACAAGCTGTGGCCACCCCACCCCTGGGTGTTTTGGATGGATTTGGAATAACCTGGTCTAGTGGAAGGTGTCTCTGCCCACGGCAGGGGTTTGAACAAGATGAGCTTTAAGGTCCTGCCCAACCATTCCATGATTCTATTTTCTATCATTCAAATGATATGATAGATAGATTCAATGATATCATTCCATGATTCTATGAATCAAGAACAGAGCCAAAATGTTCATCTCAACCTGCACCCAGTGCCCTAAAGACCGGGCCACTCTCACCAAGGCAGCACCTCAGCACACCTGCTCTTTGAAAAGCACACACACAAAGAAATGAGTGGGAAACATCTCATTTTTCCACACAAAGGAGAAAGACAGCCCAGAATAAACAGCTTCCTACAGGAATCACAGCTGCTTTGGCGTGCAAAGGCCGATGTGCATACAAATGGTGCCTAATTAACTGCTTAAGGAGAGATTAGCTGCCATATGTTGCAGGAGTGATGGGTGTGCTTCCAGTGTGCAATTAATGGATTACAAATACGCCATCTCACGCCATACAGTGCCAGAAAGATGGGCTGCCTGCACCCTGGGGAGAGCAGGGGCAGGAGCTGGGTGTGGTGCTGGTGTCCCTGTGCTCAGCTAGCTGGGACAAGGTGAGCAGGGCTGCAGGAACACATGGCACAGCCACAGCTTCTCTGGGCAGCCTGTGCCAGGCCTCACCACCCTCTCAGGGACGAGTTTCATCCCAATATCCAATCTCAACCTGTTATGAGTGCTCGTGCCTCACGTTGAAGGAGCCACGTGGGTTTGGGGTGCCACAACATAGGGGAAAGGGCCTGCTCCACCACTGTAGATATCATTTGCCTGTGGACAAAACAGCATCTGAAGGAACATGTCAGGACACCATCAAATGAAGCCTTTGCATGACACTACACATCCCAACAGCCCAAGATGGAGAAAGAGCTGGGTCTCAGAATTTAGGATAAACTGCCTATTTCTTCACTCAAGCCAGGTGCTTTCCATAAAGTAATTCTGTCTGAACTTTGGGAATGGCAGGGGATAGGGGAAGACCTCCAGGTCTTGATCCTCAAAGCTGTAGGTGCGGCTGGAAAAATTGTTTATGACCTCGTGGTCATCCCCTGGCCAGGCACCTGCTCACTCCCATTCAACCTCAGCTCACCCTGCAGCCCTTGGCTCACCAAGGAAGAATAATTGTGTTCCTCAGCTCAGAAAGCTCAATGGCCTTGCTTAGCAGGGCTGTGGGATCACCAGAAGGAGAAATAGGGTGGGGAAGGATGACACCTTTGAGCAGAACAGAGCTCAGCAGCAGCAGCAGCAGCTCAGCTGCCTTTCTCAGCAGTGCTTTACCCTGCATGCATCAATCAGGAGAAATCATTTAATCCTTCTCACCTCTGTTTCTGCAAAATGGGTTATTGGTATCTCCCAGCCTTTCCCAGCTTTGCATGGATAAATCCATAACCAGCATTTTATTACCACAGCCGTGGGACTCTGTGAATGGGCATGTGCAAGGAAAGAACTCAAAATGTAATTCCTACCTATCCCCCACCTTCTGAAATCACAGACTTCAAAGGCCTGAAGCAAAGTCCCTGGAAAGCACTGAAAAGCTCCACTGGAGTGCAGATTAGCCTGTTAAAGTCTGAGCTTCAGAATTTCCCCAGAGATTTCCCCTCGCCTGCCAAGACTGACAGGCCTGAAAGCAAGTAGGGCACTGCCCCGAATGTTGGAGCAGCAGATTATACTAAAGGCTTCACCCCCCTGAAAATGGTATTGAAATGAAGAGTAGATGACACAGCAGCCACTGTGAGCCTCAGAAAGGTCAAGTGATCCTGGGCTTTCTTAGGAGCAATTTATGCAGTGCTTCAGTGACATCTGAAATGGAATCATCTCGAGAAGGCATTGAGAGCTCTCCCTCTGCTGTTTCCTGGACCTCAGGAGGAGATGGAAAACCAGGGGGATTTGTTAGATGTTGCACAGAGGCAAAAGAAATAATTCTGTTTTCTCAGAGTCTTTTTAAATTCTGTCATCATGGGTTTAAATACTTGCCTCACACTCAGCCTCAGCCTCTGTTGCACACACAAAAGTGATACAGCAATATTCGTATAAACACTTGTTTGCCTCCTAGTGCCATTTAGCACTTGCAAAATAAGAAGGAACAACAACTCTGAATGATGCAAAAAGACAAGATACTGTCAGATAAAACACCTGATGTTGAAAATGAGATGTGAGCCACTGAGATCTGGGGCTTTGGTCTGACTCTGGAAGTCTGAACTCCCAGAGCCTAAGGGGTTGAGAGCTGGGAATTGCTGGGCTATCAGAAAAATCCACTCCAGTGCAGAAAATGTTAAAGCAACTTTTAAACCACAGCCAGGAGGCACCTAAATATTGCATTAGAATGGGCCATTGAGCTTTGCAACACCACCAAAGGAAGGGGAAGTTATCCAGAGCAGAGAGGAAAATTGAAAGGTGAAGGGAAAATAGGGGAAAAGTATGAAAAAAATTGAAAGGTAGGAGCCTCCCTGCAGCAACAGGCTCAGCACATCCTGCACTCACAGAATGCCCCTTTAACAGAAAGTGATGGGGTTTGGCTTTAAATTCAGGCCTTGAACCCCCTTGTGGTGCAGAGAGGCTGAGCTGTGTGGAGCAGGTTGGAGCCAGCCCTACAGTGCAGTTTCACCTCCCAGTGCTGCCAGCTTGGCATCACATTGTGCATTTAAACAGAAGCACTGATAATCTGAACCCCTCAACTAACACAGAGCCCTCAAATGCCTTCAAAATGATTGGAGCCAGGCAAAAGATGAGCTCCAGAAGGCAGGGGAAAAATAAAAGGTATTCAAAAACCAGCAAAATCCCACAAAACTCACCACTTTCTACTCAAGTGCAACTCCCTGGAGAAGCTGCACCCCCGGCAGGCTGGGCCATGTACAGCCCTGCAAAGAGAAGGAACAAACACAGGTTTCAGAAAATAAGGCTTTTCTGTCTCCTTTATTATCATTACACAAATTATTCTGGGATATTCATACCTTTTGTGTTCAAGATTGATGGAAAATTCAGAAGGAAAATGCAGTTCAGTCTCCTCCCTCTCCATTTGTCTCCCTCACCCCATGCTTTTTGAGGAAATTGGTAAAGGCCCTCTCTTAGGAGTCTAAAAGGAAGATATTAAATACCTAAGACACATAAGAAATTGTCAATTATATGCAGTGTTTTTACAAAATCCAGTAATTTATAGAAAAGCAAAGTTCTTCAAAATGACCTTTTAGGTACTAGACAATTATTTTGAAGTGGGAGAAAGAGAAAAAGAAAACCCAAGAGGACTTTCTCATGATAGTATGAAGTGCACTTAGTAAGAGAAAGCTGTTAAAAACACTTAAACTCTGTTTTAGGTCTTTCTGCTGTTGCCCATCACCATGGTATCAGAACATCAGAAATGTAAAGCAGATTAGCAAAATCTGATTCTCTGTGGGCTCCTGGTTCTTTGGCATTTTTTGTGTATGCAGAATCCCATGGGAAGTGAGTCCTTGTGTGCTGATTTCCAGGGGGGCTGAGAGCAAATTCCATTTTCCTCCAGTGCTGCCTAAGGGGATGGAGCTGCAGCAATTCCCTGAGTCACTCAGAATTTGGCCTTGTCCATTTTCTTCTGGAAGTTTATTTCATAATCAGGCCCCTTTCTGGACAAGAAACCTATAGTTCAGGATTTGGAACTGATATTTTGGATTCTCTGAGGCCTAGATAAGTGTCTTGAGGTTTCAAATGTGTGCCATGCTTCAAACACCTCTTTTCTAGGTCTGAACGAGTTAATTTTCTCACTGGCAATTTTGTGAAATTACTCAAATGGATGTGAATTCCTGCACACGGTTTTTTATAGCTTTTTCTTCCACCAGAATAAAACCCCAGTCCCTGTCACAATGCTGCCTCTCTCCTGACACAACAGCCAGGGCCATCACTGTCACAAGTTCCGTGATGGAGCTGTTATTACAGAGAACATTACATCTCAAATGATGGGATTTGCTGGTCAGCTGGTTGTTCTGTGCAAAATTATGTTTGAACAGAGCTAACAATGAAACATTTAGAACCATCACATAAAACATAAAAGGATGGAAGAACAAAATAATGAAGGGGGGAAAAAAAAAATAAAAAGCACTTGGGGACATTCTCTAGTACAGTTTGTACCATCACACAAGAGTTATTGTTTTTCCTACAGCTCGTGGTTAGGAGCACTCCCAAAGTCCAGGAGCTCCATTTGACCATGCCCAGCCTCTAGACCACCTAATCTGGGGTCCCAGAGGTGGGGTCTGCTCTTCTGATGATGCTGAATATCCAAGGCAATAACCACAGGATGCTTTGCAGGCAGAGCTCTGGTCCTGCGTTATATAATCTGATCTGGCTGCACAGTCCTGAAAACCAAAGTTATGTAAATAAATTATCCCAGTGGCTGCAGGGACTGGCACAATTGGCTGTGTGCTCTGAATGCAAATGTGCTGCTCTGAGGAGTCAAAGCAGCTCAACACCTGCCCAGCAAATCTGCCCTGACAGGAGCACCTCTGCCTGCTCCCCTTCCCAGCCTGATGCCTGCAGGTCCAAGCGACTCTCTCAGCTGAATTACTGGATCAGTGTTGCACCCCAAAATCTGGGGGAATTAAATCAGCCAGTCTGATCTCCAGTAATCCCCATGTGCTCCTTTGGCCCCCAGTCCCACCCCGACCAGGCAAGGGAGCTCTGGGGGGCTCCTGTGGCTGTTGCCGTGTGGAAAGGTTAGGAATGGCTCCAAGGATCAATCAACTATTTTAGTTTATGCATCCAGGGAAACTGGATTAACAAAGCAGGATTTCAAAAAACCCTCTGAGTGTGCAGGGAAAGTTATCATTAGAAGAGTTTAGCCTAAGGTTTTTACCTTTTTTTGGGCACTACATGTTAAGTGTAGTGTCTATTCAAAATAATTACAGAGCCAGGATAATTCATTCGGAATCACTACAAAATAAGGGTGAGGAGAAAGAAGTTTAAAAAATTTAAAAAGGAATGAAATCAATGCCTTGAAGATAAATGTAAGTGAAAAAACTGAAAGGCAAAATCATTACTCAAAGAAGAAAAGTGAAATTATTCCTGCTTTGATGCATATAGAAAAGCATCTTGATAACTACAAGGCAAATCTGAAGAATGTGTTATCAGAAAAGAATGGGGTCCCTGTTTTTCTGTTGCACTCTCAAACCTTGAATAGCAGTGATTTGATTGAGTTGACCTCAGAGGAGACCAACCAGACCAGGAAAACACAGGATGTGATGGGTGTACCAGTGGAGGGCTCAGCTCTGGAAGTGCTCCCAGAAGGCAGAGCCAGGGCAGCTCCACAAAACCTCTCTGGGCACCTCAGGGAACTCACAGGGATCCAGAGTCTCAGGCATACAGGTATTTTTTGCTCCTTTCCTCTTTCCTTTCCTCTTTCCTTTCCTTTCCTCTTTCCTTTCCTCTTTCCTTTCCTTTTTCCTTTCCTTTCTTGTCCTTTCCTGCCCTGCCCTGCCCTTGGATTTATCACAGCTGTCTCCCTGCCCTAGCATTGCCCTTCCCATGCTGATAGAAGCCATCTGAAGGCCCTGTCTCAGTGCAGGAGGTTGTGGTGAGGTGTTTGGGTGTAGGTGTGTAGGTTTCTGGGTGTGTGCAGCACTGATTCCTCGCTCACCTGCCCCGTGACAGCCCCGAGGATGCTCTGGGTGCTGGGGAGGCTGGTCCAGCTGGAAGCTGGGCAGCAAAAGGTGCCCTGAGTGTCCTTGCAGCTGCCTCCAGCTGAGGGATGTGGTGACAGCACACAGGAGATTTCCTGACCTTCACTAAAGGGCCGAGAGGTGCTCTCACACGCTGTCACCTGCCTGCCACAGAGCTTGCTGAAGGGCTGCAGGATCCGAGCAGAGCTGGCAGCAGCAGCAGGTGCAGCCCTGAGCAGCTCCAAGGCACTTCTCACCTCCTGTGGAGCTCCTGCTGCTGGCTCCAGCTCTCCAGGTTTCCTTGAGGAAATCTGGGCAGGAACAAGGGAACATTCATTCATCTGCACAGCTTTGCTTTGGGCTTGGCTGGGACAGGACCAGAACTCCCAGTAACTCCCCAGGTTTGTTCAGTTTTTGGTTTGAACCAGACTCCAGTCTGCATAAAGACAGAGCCTTCTCTGCCTCAGCTTTCCAGGTTTATGCCACGATGCAGCAGCCTCCAGCTGGTCCAGCAGCATGTGCTGCTCCTCAGATCCTACAGAGGGATTGGGAGTAAAAGAAAAATGGCAGCAAGCCCTTCAGCTGAAGAAAGAATGAATTCCTGTGACTGCAGGAAGTGGCTCGGGGCCACCTGAACGCAGGGACAGGATCCAGGTCTGCCACTCACCAGCTGGGATTTCTCATCCCCAGGCAGCTGAGGGATGCTGGCTGTGCCATGTGGCAGGAGGGCTCGTCCCCTCCCTGTGGCCACTGCAGTCCCAAGCCAAGCACTTTGTACCTCAGCTGCCTGCTTGGGGGTGATTTTTTTTTCTCTGAAGCATTTTGCTCAAAAGCTGGAGGGGCAGGAGGCACTGAAACACTGCCCAGAGAGACCACATTCCTGGAGCCCAGTGCATTTCATAATATATTTGTGACTGCTCTTCAGTCCCAATAAATTTGAGATTGGAGGAAATCCAAATGAAGGGGTCTAGGGTTGTCTTCCTACCTCTTTCTTTGTGAAAGCAATTTCCTTTATTGGCATCCTCCAAGCAAAAGTAATCTTTCAGAGGGAGGTTTGGCAAAAACATGGAAGGGTTTTATAGTGACAGGGCCAAAGGTTGATAAAAGCCCATTGAAGCCATTGCAGTCCAAGGTAATAGGCAGCTCTAGACTTTCAGGAGAGTTAATAGAAGGAAAACAGTCTGGGTTTTCAGTAAAGGGAGAAACAGAAAACTGATTTTTACCAGTATTTTTCCTTTCCAGTGCACACACATCAACTCCACCAAACACCAGTGCTTTGAATGGGAGACTCAGTTTCAGAAATAGGCATTTCAGATTGTCTGCAGTGCTAGAAAGAAATGAATTGTGCTGAAAAATCATTCTTACTTGCCCACCTATCCCATATAATTGAGTTCCCAACATTATTATCTGGATATAGAGTGTGTTTAACATGACAGCCCAACGGGATATTCTCCCCCAGAACCCTCTTGTATTCAGGACAGAGTCAGAGCAATGGAGGACAAAAGAAAACCAAGTTTGTGCAGAGCCTTAACAGTGCTAAAGCAGGCAGAGTAAATTAATATCAGGAGAAAATGAACGACAGCCTTACACAAGACTCAGCAGAATTCTTCTTGTGAGGACGTGGGACCTCACATTCCCTGGCAGAATCAGTTCTTCCCCTGATCATTTGTGCTGGAAGTCAGGCTGAGCTGTCATCCAGACAGTTTTAAAGCCAATGAATGTCCCCATCTCCAACTGCTTTGGGAATGTATTCAGAAGGAGACACAGGCAGACAATTGCAGAAGGATTACATTTTTGGGGGCATAAGTGCTGTGAGGATCACGATGCTGGGACAGTAGCTGAACACCACTTGGCAACTGCATTTTGTAGAGGGAGCCAAAAGACTCATTCCTTCTGGACAGAGGGAAATGGCTGCATTTGTAAAATGTTATTGTTTATGTTCTTTAAAATTAAATTTAAAATAATTAATTTAATTTAAAAATAAATTAATTAAAAATATATAATTTTCTGCTTTGGTCATAGTTTAATCAGTATACTGAGCTGAAAGAGATGAAAACTGAAGCTGGCAAAGCTTGGCTTGGAGGCAGAAGTTTTGTTTTTGTTAACAGTGCTCATTAATTCAGTTTTAGCACCTCTTCTGCTGATACCTGAGTCCTGTGACAACAGCAGCCACTGGCATCTTCTTCCCCTTTGCTGAGCTCAAGGATTCCCCCTCAAAACCAGAGGAACAAGGTCACCCCTTGTGACACGGATGGGTTTGGTGACAGAGCCCACAGAGCATCACTGGTGACCAAGCACCAAGGGTGGACTGAGAGACTGGAACACCAGAGTGGCCTCCTTGTCACCTCCTGCCTAATTAGACATTGAATATTTATGCTTTAAATCATCCACAGATAAAATAAATAAAATAAAATAAAATAAAATAAAATAAAATAAAATAAAATAA